AGTAGTAGTAGTAGTGTATATATATATATATATTGAGTCAACCGAAATGAACCTAAAATTACAATCATTAACAAGTACAACAACGTGAAGACAACGCAATAAATGCTCTTGTGCAAAAGAACAGAGGAGAAAGAGGTACGGTTCAACAAACCAGAAAGGCAGTGTTTTCTGTTCTTTTTTCTTAATCAGAGAAGAATTCAATACCCGAAGCAAAAGATTACAGTAGTGAAGAACAAAAGACTTCAAGTACATCAAAGCGGAACAGCAATAACAATTTACAACATCTCCCTCCAACTGCATTCTTAACCATACTAGGATTTCTAGTAGATTTGCCAAGTTGTAATTAGTTAAGCTGTAAACTTGCCATATTGTAATTAGCCTTGTTTTTCTGTATTTTGGTTTTTTTTCCTTGAATCTATTCTTATTTAGCTCTAATAGCTGTGTACATTATTTTGTAATTGGAACCTGTAAGAACCAGCTTGCAAAAAATGAAATAGATTTACCCCAAAGAAGAAACCTGCTTACCTTTTCAAAGGGCCCAAGGAACATCAAAGCAAATGGTTCACGATATAACGAAGCAAGATTATCTGGAACTCTATTGGTCACAGAGGAAGAACCTTGGTCCACTTCCCACACTCCAGGGCGTTTCATTTCTTCCTCAAAATTGCGGAATGGATCTATAGAGTGAAGCTGAGCTTCACGTGACGAGCTAGTGAGACAAAAGAAAACATAACAGGGTTCACCACCTCGAAGTGATAAACAATTGCATCACAAAATCACAATAAAGAAGAAAGCAGAAATATTTCTTTGCTCAATAACTTAACAACCAGACTTCATCAAGGAAGTGTTCAATACAAGTGTAAGAAAGAAGCATGTCATAAATAGACAGATACAAACAACCTATGAGAAGATTAGACAACAAAAACAAGAATATCTAGGCATACTAAATCTGCCTACGTTTAGCTTATTTTATAAACTGTTCATAAACACTCGAAGTCTCAAACCACTTTTTATAACCACATTTCAAGAGAGCCACGAATGCTATCCACTTATCTATTTTTAATATAAAACATTTATACACACTTCCCAGACATGCTCTCCTCCGTTATATGGTTACAAGATTTATGTCTTGTGTTGAGTCATCTTTATCCTTTGGGTCATTTTAACAAAGATTCAATTTTCTAAAAATACTCTTTGGTTTCAAGAATTAAGGACATAAATTGATATGAAGTTTGTAGACTTTCTCACATTATTTTGACTTTTTTTACAAAAAGGAATGAAAATTTCAAATTTTCCATAATTTTATTTTCCAAAATTTATAAAATGCGAATTTTTGTGTCCTTGATGTGTTGAGGACATTTTCCTCGTATTCGAACTATAAAGAATATGGTGTGCAGGACACGTGCAGTAGTGTGTGTTGCAAATGTTCGCCAAGTGTTGAAAATTTAAAAGAATACTTAAATAATAAGGCATGCCACATGGCATCATGTCACGAATGGCAACTTAGAACGACACTAATGTTTGTGACCATTGAAGACGAGGAGAGAACTTGGCTTGGCATGTGTTTATAGTTGGCTGTAATGGTAGCAAGTTCATATGGTGAGCAGATAATCTTAGCAATTAAGTTTATGAAAGCAGTTTTACAGAGAACTTGCCTAAGGAATTAAAAAGCTTCCAATCAAGTCAGACAACAATTAAAGTCTGTCCGGTTAGGAAATGTAGGGACAGAAGGCGACAACATCAGGTGGTGGCATTCCCATAATTTCAGTAGATGACAGGGGCAATATCTTAAGTATTGTCTATCCTTCAGAGCTAAAACTTTGTCACTTGATATTGGAAATGTTAGCTTTCAGTATGGATGAAATAGAGCGTCATTTGAAAGTCGAGAACATGAGTTATAAAAATTATAATTCGTCGAACAAAAAAGTCTATTGGTATCACTTAAATTTTTCTTGTTAAATCTATCATAAAAGGGGCATGCTTAGTGAGTAGTCAAAAGCCTCTCGGAGGGGCCTAAGGTTACCCTTAGAGCATTAATATGCTCCGAGGGCTACATAAAGGATACAGTAACACTCTAGGTTGAAATGAGCTATTCAGAAAAGCACTCTAGAAGCCTCATATCCTAAGACGTATTCATTAGCTACGGGTTCTTGCCATTGGATCTGTTGGCTAGAAATGCCATCGTGACACGACATCGCATAAATGTATGAATATGGAGTTGTCGATCTTGTGGGAATAAGCATGCTAGGTACTTTTAATTAGCTGTGCGGCCCTGCTTAGGTTAAACAGTAATGAAGGGCATGGTCACAAGCATTAAGTTAAAATGCCCATAGAAAGCATGAGGATTGCGTTGTAAAGCATGTGAATGACACTCAATGCTTTGAACGGAGCTAGGATAACTTTCCAGTGAGCATGCTTCAAGATAACCATATGTTGTGCATGAACACGTGAGAAAGCTAAATGAGATGTGCATTGTGAATATGCAAGTGCCTTAGCACGAAGTGCAACATAGGAAAGCATTCGGGCGTTCACACTTGTCTACATTGTAGGTGAAATATGCAATAGGTCATGTCTAGACTCGTGATGGAAGATGAATGAATAAAGTCGAATAGAGTGAGACTACTGTCGCACGTGTCGTCCCACTATGAGACAGAGAGTCGGCCTCTGACACATCGGACATATCCTTAGCCCAAGGACTATCGTCTCCAACACAGGCATTCAGACATACATCTCCAATACCTATGAAGCATTGTATTATCATAGAGAACCTCCCTTTTCACAGGTAAAGGTGGCCGTACATCATCTCCATCAACTTGTCTCCCATTTTGATCTCCAATATCCTTTTCGATTTCTCTGCATTAAATAATATAAGACAATTAAATAAGATACAGAGATTAAAAAAATGAACAGGACTACATATTTAAGTTGTATTCGTGCCTTAAGTTCGAATCATTCAAAGGTACATCATTTTCCAGCTCTGAAGGATAGAAAGATGGTGCAGCAGCCCCACCTTCATTTCCTAGATAAAAAAGCTGAATAGCGTCCTCAAGTTTCCAGCTTGTGGCCTGCGCCACAAGAACTCCAACATGAAGACTAGAAAGGATTCAGCAAAGCAACACTACGTTTAAGAAGTTAAACCGGCAAGGAATAGGGTGGAAAAGGAAACGCCAAACACAATAAATATTATGAAAGTATCTAAGGCTTCCAAACATATTATATTTTGAGAGATGCAGAAGGCATACTCCCCATCGCATAAAAATTTAAAAATAATAATAATAATAATAAATAGAGTTGAAAAGTACAAAGAATTATGATGCATATATACAATAGATTCACTTGTTCAGTAAATTGAATCCTAGTCCTCAGTCCAAAAATGAACATCAGATTCTCCTTGTACAGCTTTTCTAGTCATATGTAATAATTTTTCTATTAGTTTCTCTCGATTTTCTTTTCTAATCTCTCATGTCATGATTATTTCCTCATCTGCTATCATTTCAATTTAAGGAATTATTGTTCTACATTCTTTTCACAGTTCAATAATAAATAAGGCAATATCTTTGCTCGTTTCTTCTTATTGATTTCTCTCAATTTTCTCCTTCCCGTATCTAATTTCACAATTATTTCTTCTCAACACTATTTTCAATTTAAGGAATCTTTGTTCCCATGCTTTTGACGGTTATAAGCTAAATCTCACTCAAAAGATCTTCACAACTGCACTGACTTAGAGAACTTGACATGCAAACGACAAATCCAAAGATTCAACTTTTTTTCTTAGGAACTATGGAAGAGACACCCGCTCAAATAGGTCGTACCAAATGCCAAATCAAGTACCACAGCAATTGTCCAAAAACTGAAGTTCACTTCATCGGAAATCTACTAGCATTTTGTTTTAATGCAAATTGTCTTCGATGATAGGGTAAGTTTGAAATGATGGCTAGAAGACAAACCTTAACCCAGCCTCTTTATTTACTGTTGGTTAGCCCCTTTATTTACTGTTAAAGAATCAGTAAGTGCTTGAAGTTCACGTACTTATGCATATACACAAAATGCAAAAGTTAATATACTGTTGCAAGTTTAAACCACTCAAAACTTTAGGTGGCTAGCCCTTTCAAATAGTTCAAAATACAACACCATCAGAGCGCACGTATCCTAAAATACAACTGATTATTTAATTAAAAGTGTTCAAATCTACCATCACAAGCATCACCAATTTCCCTTCCATAAGGTCCACAGTTGAACTCGTTTAAAAAAACGAATATGTAAACAAACAGAAGAATCATCAACACTGAATCATATTCCAACTAGTTTTCACATAATTGAGATCACATAAATAGCCAGCTCATGCCACATTTGAGTAAAGATGTAAACGAAATTCAGTAGGCAAAAAATATAAGGGGAAGAACTTTTTCCCAGCTCAATCAACCATAAGCAAGAAATAATTGTCCCAGGAAGCAATTATCATAATTCTTAACTTTCTAATAATTATTTTACATTAAACTCTCCATATAACAACATGGGTTATCTAAGAAAACCTTCTTTTTTTCTGATAGGTAGGTTATCTAAGAAAACCTAATTAATTTACATCAATAATACGGGGAGGTCCGCATCTAAGAAAGAGTCGAACTTGAATCTCTCCTGTTCTTTTACAATTTCCACTCATGACTCACTTGCACATCGATGTGGAACCGACTTGAATTAGATGGTTCCCACATTAAGAAACACCAACCTTCTGGTTTAAAGAACACATCTTGGAACATAAAATTAACAATGCATATCCCATAAAACAGCAGATCACAAAAAAAACAAAATAATTAGTAATTACACAAGAAATTGCATATAAACACGTCTAGAGAAAAAGGGATGAACCTGAAGGAACTGACGAGCAGTATCGGCTGTCTGTCCGGACGCGATTTCAAGAAAGGAAGACACCATACTCTGCTGGTCCGTCGCAGACAAAACACCCTCCATCGATGTTTCCTTTTCTTCGAAAATTAGCCGCAAAAGACTGAAAAAGATGGATTTTTATAAACAAAAAGAGAATTACGATAAAAAGATGAGGTACATTACTTTTGCTTGAAATTTGTACATATAAAAGAAGCAAGCGGCTTGTGGGTTTTCCTTTGATGGGTTGGGGTCGCTGATGTAATTTAAGGGGAAATAGTGGCCAAGGGCGGTTGACCGGCCATTTTTTTAAAATGGGCTTTGACCAAAAATTTAAAAATAAAAAATAAATGCTAAAAATGCAAATAAAAGTCAAATAGTCGAAAATACCCTCAAATAAAAAGAAGAGAAGAGGAAAAGAAGAGAAAAAAATGAAAAAGCAAAAATTTCATTATTAACACCGAACGACCCAGATCGGAGCATCGTTGGAGATCGCCATTTCTCAAAGGTTTAACATTTTTCTTATTCTTCATTGAAATATTTTGTGTTGCTGTTAATATTTGAAATTTGAAAATTTGTTTATTGAATATGTTATGAGTTAAAAACAAATTTTGCAGTTTATTTATAGTTAAAATGGAAGAAAATATCGAATTTGAAGTTGAAATGACTCAAAAAAATGAAAAAAAAGGATTGAAATTCGTCGAAAATGAAGTTTTCCAACAAGCGGTGAGTTCTCGTCGAACTGGGTCTGGAGCGTCCAAATTCGGACCATCGTACCATCCGTAACGGACCATATGGATCCATAACAGACGAAGATGGTCCGTTACGGACCGTCAGGGTCCGGCCAGCCCGCACCAATTTTTTTTTTTTTAATTATAGTAAAATCAAGAATCTTATAATTTTTTTAAAAAAATTCTAATTTAATTCGTTTTCCATAATTTATTTTTCATTTTCATTTTTTTTCTTTTAATTTTTTTGCTTTAATTTAATGCAATTTATGTATTGTTTAATTTTTATTTACTCTTTTTAATGTGCGAGGAAATGATTTTATTTCTTACGTACTAATGCATGTAATTTGATTTGTTAAATTTTAAAATATGATAAATGTTAATAATATCTTATAAATGTTTTTAACATGTATTAATTTTTGCAAAATGGAGTCCCACCTATACAATATCATGAGAGCTCATTTTGGGAAAAGTTACATTGTATCGGTATTGGAGAGAGTCGATGAGAAACATATAACCATACTCCGTTAATCATTCCTATGGTCCTTCTATCCGTTGAAGGATATGCAATTTTTCAGCCAAATTAGTGATTTTTTATTACTTTGGTTTTGAAAGTTAGACGATGTCGATCGACCTTTGAATACAACTGTAACTGAATCAAGTAAATAAATAATTAATTACTTAAACAAAATAAATATTAAATAAATAATATACACAAGCAATTAAAATAATGATTAAATAAACAATTAAAATAACTGTGAATTTCATTTTGTAAGATTGTACATTTAATTTCTTTTGTAATTATGATTAGGATTATTAATTAATTAAAATTATTAATTAATGAAATATTTAAATAAGAAATTAAATTAAATATATATTTTTTATTTAAACAAGTGATTAAATAAATAATTAAATAAAGTAATTAAGTATACATAACCAATTAAGGTAACTAAAAAATATTTCAACCAGAAATTAAATTAAATATATATTTTTTATTTAAACAAGTGATTAAATAAATAATTAAATAAAGTAATTAAGTATACATAACCAATTAAGGTAACTAAAAAATATTTCAACCAGAAATTAAATTAAATATTAATTTTTATTTAAGTAAATGATTAAAATAAATATTAAATAATGTAATGAAATATGAAATAATATTTAAGCTAATGATTAAAATATCCAATTAAGATTATTAATTAATGAAATATTTAAAGAAGAAAGTAAATATTAATTTTTTTTAATTTAAACAAGCGATTAAATAAATAATTACATAAATTAATTAAATATTAAATAAATAACATACATAAAAATTAAAGATATTAAATAATTAAATAATGTAATGAAATATTAAATAATAATATACAAAACCAATTAATATTAAATACATAATATGAAATTTTTATAAGTGATTAAAGTAATAATTAAATAAAGTAATGAAATAATAAATAAACAATATAATAACCAATTAAGATAATTAATTAATGAAATACTTAAATGAGAAATCAAATGAAACATTAATTTTTATTTAAATAAAGTAATTAAATATTAAATAAATAATGTACATAACCAATTAAGGTAAATAAAAAAATATTTAAACGAGAAATTAAATTAAATATTAGTTTTTATTTAAATAAATGATCAAAATAATAATTAAATAAGGTAATGAAATATGAAATAAAGAAAATAAGGTAATAAAGATTAAATATACATAACCAATTAATGTAACTAAAAATAATATTTAAACGAGATATTAAATAATTAAATAATGTAATGAAATATTAAATACATAATATACAGAACCAATTAATATTAAATACATAATATGAAATTTTTATTTAAATAAGTGATTAAATAAATAATTACATAAAGTAATTAAATTTTAAATAAAAAATATACACAACAAAGTAAGGAAGAAGTTACTTAAATTAAATATTAAAATTTTAATTTAAATAAGTAATTAAAGTAATAATTAAATAAAGAATAATATACAAAATCAATTAAAATAAGTAATTAAAAATAAATAAATAATTACACAACCAATTAAAATAAATAACTAAATAAAGCAAATAATTATTAAATAAACAAATAAAACAAGTAATTAAAATAAAAATATAATAAATAATATACATAATCGATTGAAATAATTAATGAAATATTTAAATAAAAAATGAAATCAAATGTTAAATAAACAATTAAAATAAGTAATCAAATAAAGTAAATAAATATTAAACAATAATCAACTTTGTGATTTCTCACGTCGATCATGAAACCACTGTTGTAACTTGTCACAAATGTTCTCAATCTTTGCGAGAATTGGTAACCGTAGATCCTTTTTAAATAAAACATTAAGCGACTTCGCATTGAAGAACCAAGGCATCGCTAGATCATCTATTCGAATTGGTAATTCTAGATCCTTCTTAATTAATAAAATACTTAAAAGAATAAATTAAAGTAATTATGATTTAGGGAAATGAAAGTTTATTTCAAGAAAAATTTTATGATTTATTTCAATAATTATGATTTAGGGAAATGAAAGCTTTAATTACAAAATTTAAAAGCCGTTAGGTTCGCGGTCTTTGGAAATAAAAACCATACGTTTAGATAGATATTATAAATCCGTCGAGTCAATTTTCATTTAAGTACCTACTCGGTCGAGGAAACTTTTCGGTAGATGATTTTCTAAACTTATGTCTATATTCAAGAGTACGCGGTTGAATTTCGGGTGGCAACAAATTATTAAGTGCTACAATCACAATGTAATCGGGAATTTCTCACTCGACTTCATTTGATAGATGAAATATAGTTTCAGCATTACTGAATAATGTATTGAGTGACTCCACATTGTTCAACGTCATCATGTTGTATCGATATCCTGGAAAATATTACCATGCTTAATGTTCAACTTCCATATTTGTAAGATATTCTCATGCACCAGTGTGATTTATGTTCTATTTTCGCTCATGAACTTATGAAACTCTTCAAAACGGTAAACTTCTGCGGCTTTCCTAAACAATATACATAACTAATTAAAATAATTAATCAATGAAATATTTAAAGAAAAAATTAAATTAAATATTAATTTTTTATTTCAGTAAGTCTTTAAAATATATATTAAATAAAGTAATTATGATCCTGTTTGATTACGATCCTATGAACAAAATAAAAGATCGTGTACTCAATCCAGCCTGTGAACTCCTACCACACTCATGTCTCTATCTGATTACGATCATGTGAACAAATTCTGTGTGTAACAATGAAACCATGGTGAATAGCAACTATCTCGAGAATAATGTTTAGATGTACAAAGATTGATAGAATTTTGGCTTATTGGGAACTAATGAATTTCATTCTCTAAATATTTTATGAAAGTAGAAGGTAGTAGTACTAGTTATGGAACTTTAACATTTTAACAGGCTCTGTCTTCCGTTCTTTTCAAACTACAAACAAGAGTGTATATTAAGTTTAAAAACAACTAATAAAAGAAAGAACAACGGAAAAATAACTTGAATGGGAATCCGAGACTTGCCGAAAGAAAAGAGAGAAAGAGGCAATTCAGGTAAAATTTAGCAGACTAACACGCAAAGGCGACTGACGATTCATTCAGAAGGGCAGACAAGCGTCAAATGTTAGGGAAATGAAAGTTTAGGTCGAGGTTTCTGAAACTTTAGACGTGATTTGTTGATATAGTTTGTTGAATTATGATTTGGATTGTTGAAAATATATGTTTTTTTCTTCATTTCATATGATTTTGGAATAATTTTTGTTTAGTTTAGATATCGGGTGAAAACATGTGTTGTGAAATTGTTAATAAAATTAATGTTTTCGTTGTTCTTTCTTTTATTTGTTGTTTTTAAACTTATTATTTACTTATGAGTTGTGGTTTGGATAGAAAAAATGACTGTTTGTATGCCTAAATAATTAATGAACTTATTTGTGGTTTGGAAAGAACGAATGACAGAACGTATTGATTGTGTAAAAATGTTAAAATTACATAACTAGTAATACTACCTTTTACATTCATAAAATAGTTAAAACATGTACTAGTTCTAATTCCCAGTAAGTTGAAACCCTATCAATCTTTCACATCTAAAAATTATTCTCGAAATAATTGTTACTCACCGTGATCTCACTATTACACACGAAATTTGTTCACAGGATCGTAATCAGATAGAGATACGAGTCTGGTGGGAGTTCACATGTTGGATTGAGTACAGTCTTCTAATTTGCTCATAGGATCGTAATCAGACATGATCATAATTACGTTATTTAATTATTTATTTTAAAGACTTACTGAAATAAAAAATTAATATTTAATTTAATTTCTTCTTTAAATATTTCATTGATTATTTTGTTTGTTTAATTAATTATTTAGTCACAGTTGTATTTAAAGGTCGATCGACTGGCTTTCGAAACCAAAATAATAAGGAATCAATAATTTGGGCAAAAAATTGCATGTCCTTCAACGGACAGAAGAACCATAGGAATGATCGACGGA